TTTCGTAAGGTGAAGTCCAGGATCGGTACATGGCAAATATCTGGTGACGTGCACCTGTGATCCTCCACCCTTGTCTTTCTCATCTCACCAAGAATATCACTGTCCTTGTCTTTCTCATCTCACCAAGAATATCACTGTCCTTGTCTTTCTCATCTCACCAAGAACATCAGTGTCCTTGTCTCTTTCATCTCACCAAGAACAACACTGTCCTTGTCTTTCTCATCTCACCAAGAACATCAGTGTCCTTGTCTCTCTCATCTCACCAAGAACAACACTGTCCTTGTCTTTCTCATCTCACCAAGAACAACACTGTCCTTGTCTCTCTCATCTCACCAAGAACAACACTGTCCTTGTCTTTCTCATCTCACCAAGAACATCAGTGTCCTTGTCTCTTTCATCTCACCAAGAACAACACTGTCCTTGTCTTTCTCATCTCACCAAGAACATCAGTGTCCTTGTCTCTCTCATCTCACCAAGAACAACACTGTCCTTGTCTTTCTCATCTCACCAAGAACAACACTGTCCTTGTCTCTCTCATCTCACCAAGAACAACACTGTCCTTGTCTCTCTCATCTCACCAAGAACACCAGTGTCCTTGATGACGTACATCTGATACATTCTTCCCACTAATAGTATCAATAGTCTCTGTAAAAAAATAACGGCTATGTTAAATCTTATAGTTTTCATTATTTAAATATCACCTATTTTATGAAATTATTATTATTATTATTATTATTATTATTATTATTATTATTATTATTATTATTATTATTATTATTATTATTATTAATTATTATTATTAATATTATTATTAATATTCGTAGTAGTAGTTTTTTAAATATTTATTAAATTATTTTCACATAATTAATGTTTGTTGATTGACGAATAATCTGAAGCTTCCGTGGTTACCGGAGGATATACAGGCATCCTATATACCCTTCAGTGGTTACTGGAGGATATACAGGCATCCTATATACCCTTCAGTGGTTACTGGAGGATATACAGGCATCCTATATACCTTTCAGTGGTTACTGGAGGATATACAGGCATCCTATATACCCTTCAGTGGTTACTGGAGGATATACAGGCATCCTATATACCCTTCAGTGGTTACTGGAGGATATACAGGCATCCTATATACCCTTCAGTGGTTCCTGGAGAATATACAGGCATCCTATATACCCTTCAGTGGTTACTAGAGGATATACAGGCATCATATATACCTTTCAGTGGTTACTGGAGAATATACAGGCATCCTATATACCCTTCAGTGGTTACTGGAGAATATACAGGCATCCTATATACCCTTCAGTGGTTACTGGAGGATATACAGGCATCCTATATACCTTTCAGTGGTTACTGGAGATATACAGGCATCCTATATACCCTTCAGTGGTTACTGGAGGATATACAGGCATCCTATATACCTTTCAGTGGTTACTGGAGGATATACAGGCATCCTATATACCTTTCAGTGGTTACTGGAGATATACAGGCATCCTATATACCCTTCGGTGGTTACTGGAGATATACAGGCATCTATATACCTTTCAGTGGTTACTGGAGATATACAGCATCCTACATACCCTTCAGTGGTTACTGGAGGATATACAGGCATCCTATATACCCTTCAGTGGTTACTGGAGGATACACAAGCATCTTATATATCCTTCAGTGGTTACTGGAGGATATACAAGCATCCTATATACCCTTCAGTGGTTATTGGAGGAAATACAGGCATCCTATATACCCTTCAGTGGTTATTGGAGAATATACAGGCATCCTACATACCCTTCAGTGGTTACTAGAGGATATACAGAATCTATATACCTTCAGTGGTTACTGAGGATATACAGGCATCCTATATACCCTTCAGTGATTATTGGAGGATATACAGGCATCCTATATACCCTTCAGTGGTTATTAGAGGATATACAGGCATCCTATATACCCTTCAGTGGTTACTGAAGGATATACAGGCATCCTATATACCCTTCAGTGGTTACTGGAGGATATACAGGCATCCTATATACTCTTCAGTGGTTACTGAAGGATATAGTGTACAGGCATCCTATATACCCTTCAGTAGTTACTGGAGGATATACAGGATATATACCCTTCAGTAACGACTAGTAAAAAAATATACACAACTAAGTATACCTCGTGAACTGATTAAGTGGGATCAAAGTTATCGCTCCATCTGAGGAAATAAGTGCATCTCAGAGAGTAAGTGGTTTAAGGTCCCACCGAGGGAGAAGCTACACACACGCACATCCCCCAGGATGTGCAACATTAACCCCGACGAGGAACCAAATAAGTATCCCCGAGGATGTGCAACATTAACTCCGACGAGGAACCAAATAAGTATCCCCTAGGATGTGCAACATTAACCCCGATAGGATACCAGATGAGTTTTTTTTAACAATGGTTATAAATGACCATAATTTTTAAAGGGGTGGACCGGTAACTCGCGAAGCCTCGTCAGATGACCAAAAGCTCCAAGGCGGGTCATCACCTGACTAGACCCGCGTCAGGAAACATTTCCGTTTCCTGACGACCTACGCTAACCTAACCTAACCAGATGAGTATCCCCCAGGATGTGCAACATTAACCCCGACGAGGAACCATATAAGTATCCCCCAGGATGTGCAACATTAACCCCGACGAGGAACCAAATAAGTATCCCCCATTATGTTGAACATTAACCCCGACGAGGAACCAAATAAGTATCCCCCAGGATGTGCAACATTAACTCCGACGAGGAACCAAATAAGTATCCCCAGGATGTGCAACATTAACCCCGACGGAGCACCTGATAAGTATCCCCAGGATGTGCAAAATTAATCCTGACGGGGCACCAGTTAGTATTCCCCCAGGATTGCAACATTAAACCCCACAGGCACCAGATAAGTGTCCCGCAGGATGTGGAACATTAACCCCGACGAGGAACCAAATAAGTATCCCCTAGGATGTGCAACATTAACCCCGATAGGAAACCAATGAGTATCCCCCAGGATGTGGAACATTAACCCACGAGCACACTATAAGTATCCCCCAGGATTGTGCAACATTAATCCTGAAGATTGGAACACTAGCAGCATATGAATTTTATTCCAGGAACGTTTCGCCACACAGTGGCTTCATCAGTCCAATACAAGAGGAAGCGTAAGGAGAGGAGTGAGTAATCACCCACCTGGAGTCGATGGCTCATCCATCAATCTGTAGAATGACAGCATAGGCCGTAACGTATCTAGGATACTGTATTAGGTGAGGTGAAGCAGCGGATAGGCGGTCAAGTGGTATCACCCTAGTCGAAGTAGGTCTTCGTCCCAAAGGTTGAACAAGTGTGAAGAATTTTTGACAAGATCCCAGATACTGCAGTGCTGACAGATGTGATGAATGGTTGAAAAACCGACAATTGAAGATTGAACCTATGGCAGCATATGGAATCTTTGATTCAGGAAACGTTTCGCCACACAGTGGCTTCATCAGTCCATTAACAAAGAGGAAGCGTAAGGAAGGAGATAGAGGTAATCCCTCGCCTGAGTTCGAAGTGTTCACCACATCTTGAGAGAGTACAGCAAGGCCGTAGAGTGGCTTATCTCCTGTAGTGAGGTGACTTGAAGCATGTGGAACCGGATCATAGTGGTATCATCCACAGCCGAAGTAGTCTTTGTCCAAAGTTAACCCGACGTTGAAATCTTGTAAAGATCCCATGATGCTGCATGTCATTACAGTTGGATGAAGTTGAAACCGAACAGTTGAAGATGAACACTTATGCAGCAAATGTGGAATCTTATTCAGGAAAAATTCAGAATCTTATCCCGAATACAAATTCCCATATGCTGCATAGGACTCATCTTCAACTTGTCGGTTTTTCAACCAGGCTTTCCAACATTAATCCTGACGGGGCACCAGTTAAGTATCCCCCAGGATATGCAACATTAACCCCGACTAGGCACCAGATAAGTATCCCCCAGGATGTGCAACATTAACCCCGACGAGGAACCAAATAAGTATCCCCCTTTATGTTCAACATTAACCCCGACGAGGAACCAAATAAGTATCTCCCTTTATGTTCAACATTAACCCCGACGAGGAACCAAATAAGTATCCCCCTTTATGTTCAACATTAACCCCGACGAGGAACCAAATAAGTATCCCCCAGGATGTGTAACATTAACCCCGATAGGATACCAGATGAGTATCCCCCAGGATGTGCAACATTAACCCCGACGGGGCACCTGATAAGTATCCCCCAGGATGTGTAACATTAACCCCGATAGGATACCAGATGAGTATCCCCCAGGATATGCAACAATAACCCCGACGGGGCACCTGATAAGTATCCCCCAGGATGTGTAACATTAACCCCGACAGGGCACCAGAGAAGTATCCCCCAGGATGTGCAACATTAACCCCGACAGGGCACCAGAGAAGTATCCCCCAGGATGTGCAACATTAACCCCGACAAGCAAGAGAGCTACACATTTCACATGATTTGCATCAATTCTCCTAGGATGTGCAACATCCTGACAGTCCCCCCTCCCCCTGTACGAGCAACATTCGTCAAGGTGCTCGTGTGGAGAGGTCCTCAACACAGATGACAACGCAGTCGATAGCCAAAAAACTTTTACGACCAGCAAATTGCGGGCTGTGCAGTGTGCGACTATGGGCGTCGGAGATGGACGGGCGGGAGGAGTGAAGGTATTACGGAGCTCATGATCAATACAGATGGCACTGTGTGTTGTCCCCAGTGATGAAGCAGTGCCACCCACCCCCTCCCTCCCTCCCCCTCCAAACACACACCTGCCACAGTACATCCCCCTCTACTTCGAATGCCTAGCGATGAGGTGTTGACTTACAGATATTGACGGTGGTATGAGCAGCAGCAGCAGCAACAGCAGCAGGGTGGAGCTTGGGCCCCGATGTACGCAGGCGCGGGCGGGAAGGGGGGTGCGGATGCACGAACACACGCACGCAGCGCTACATATAGTAGGGGAAGAAGGAGACGAGGGCACAAAACTCCCTGCTCCTCCGTGGTGGCACCAGTGTCACACCTGTTTACCTCGGCCGGCTCAGAAGCCTGCTATGAGGCAGCTGGGTGCCACGCCACTCTCTCAGGACCTGTGCCCTGGGACTACCCTCTGTGATTTGTGATCGAGTGGGTGGGTGTTCAGCTAGGTGGGCGCCGGGGCTCGGGGAGCTGGGTGTATTGGACAAGGTGGGCGACTATGTGGTGTGTGATGCCATATGGCAGCGCGGGCGTGCAAGCCATGCAGAAGCCATGACCAGCAGTACCGAGAACAAATATGGCTGAGTTTAAACTGCCTCTACTGCAGTCGTACGCCACGTCTTCCTCCTCCTCACCTTCATCCAGCATGTGGTACGCCCACAACTACACCCAGAGGAGGACACAGGCACGCAACCTCACCAGGAGCCACGAGTACGCCCACGCCCACGACCTGAGCCACGAGTACGCCCACGATCCCTACCACATATGCCAGGACCACCTTTCCCTCACAGACACAGAGTGCATGAGATCCCTACAAGAGTACTTGGCACAGTACGCCCGCACCGATCTACAAACTCACGCCTACACGCCAGATCAGAACCGCGCCCACATAGCCCACACCATAGCACGAGGGCGCGCCCATACCGTGGGTCGGAGCCAAGGGGGGACCGGGAGCCAGAGTCGCGCCCACACCATAGCACGAAGCCATAGTCACGGTGCCGCCCACGGCAAGGCCTCAGCCAGAACCCACGCCCACACCGCTGACCAGGGTCACGCCCACTCTGCACACAACACGGATAAAAATCATCACCCCCACGCAACACAAAACCACGCCCACGCTACGCAAAACCACGCCCACGCTACGCAAAACCACGCCAACGCGACAACGCAAAACCACACCCTCGCGACGGCTCAAAATCACGCCCACTCAAAGCAAAATCACGCCCACTCGACTCAAAGTCACGCCCACGCAACGCAAAACCACATTCACGCTGCGGACAAGACTACCGTCCACACAACGGCCAAAAATCACGCCCACACGACAGCCCCAAACCACGCCCACACAACGGCCCCAAACCACGCCCACATGACCGCTCAAAACCACGCCGCCCCTTCAACACGCACTCGCGGCCATGTTCCAGGCCGGAATCACGCCCACGGCGCGGGCCGCAGTCACGTCCACGGTGGGGGTCGCTTTCACGCCCACGAGGGCGTGAACCGAGCGTCATCCCGCCCCACTGCCCACATATCCTCCAGGAGCCACGCCCACAGCATTGATCAAAGCCACGCCCTCACTGCCGATCACACCCTCGCCCAAATTGCCGATCACAAGCACGCTTTTGTCGCCATACAGAACCACGATCATGCCCCCGATCAGAACCACGTGTACGGTGGGGACCAGAACCACGTGTACGGTACCGATCAGACCCACATGTACGGTGGCGATCAGACCCGCGTGTACGGTGGCGATCAGACCCGCGTGTACGGTGGCGATCAGACCCGCGTGTACGGTGGCGATCAGACCCGCGTGTACGGTGGCGATCAGACCCACGTGTTTACCATTGACGAGAACCACGCTTTCGCTGTCGACCCCAGCCAGCTGTACACCGTCGACCAGAGCTTGGTCTACGCTGTCGACCAGAGCCTGGAGCAGAGCATCGACGTAGCTGTCGACCAGAGTCTTGCCCCCAGCACCGTCGACCACGACTCGACAGTCGACCAATCCCGTGAGCTTATAACCGACAATGTTAACATCTATGCTTACCAAGGGGAATACCCGTACACCCACGCCTTCCAGCACGCCCCCCGCGCCCGCTCCCACGCCCAGGAGCAGCCCCTCCGAGGACGCTCCCGCCCGCAAACCGACCAGGCGTACCGGGTGCGCCCACACGCCCACGACCTGTGCTCCTTCTATCCAGAATCTGCGGAGTCGAGTGAGGCTGAGGAACAGCGGGTGGCCAGAGACAACGTGCGGGTGGACTTGCCCTACACCCACCTGCAGTGCCGCGGGCGGCGTGGGCGGGATGATTACGGCGGGCAGGGGCGTGCGGAGCACATCATACGTAGGTTCCAGGAGAGTGGAGAGCCTTGTGAGGAGGACGGTGAGGCCAGCACCGTCGGCCTCTCATATCAACAACAAGCTGATGTGTGCCACACGCGAGGCCACCTCGGTTCTTCCCTCACCCTGGCTGAAGCCTCGGAGGGCGTGGGTAGGAGGCGTGGAGGCCTACTGCTGGCGGAGGGGCTCGTCAGGGAGTGGGTGAGGGCTGTGGGCGTGGTGGCAGCCTCAGGAACCCTCGTTACCCTCGTTGTTTTGGGATTTGGGGTAAGTTGCTTCATTGCTCCTTATTTTGAGAGAGAGAGAGAGAGAGAGGAGAGAGAGGAGAGAGGAGAGAGAGAGAGAGAGAGAGAGAGAGAGAAGAGAGAAGAGAGAGAGAGAGAGAGAGAGAGAGAGAGAGAGAGAGAGAGAGAGAGAGAGAGAGAGAAAACTGTTGTGATGATATTCGTCCCAAGCTAGGCTTTTCATATATTTTACAACCTCAGTTTTAAAATCATATTTAAACTTTATATACGAAATTTGAAACATTGGACAATGTGATGAGAAAGGAAGGCATCTGCAGAGAGAGAGCCAGGAGTAAGATTCATGTTGTGTGTATAATACACAAGTAACCGCATACAGGAGAGGGAAGCTTACGACGACGTTTCGGTCCCACGTGGACCATTTACAAGGTCACACTAACAAAAAGGAGAGGGGGGAATATATATATATATATATATTATATATTATATATTATATTATATATATATATATATAAAATATATATATATATATAATATATATATATATATATATATACACACCCCTCTGGGTTTTCTTCTATTTTCTTACTAGTTCTTGTTCTTGTTTATTTCCTCTTATCTCCATGGGGAAGTGCAACAGAAGTCTTCATCCGTAAGCCATGCGTGTTGTAAGAGGCGACTAAAATGCCGGGAGCAAGGTGGCTAGTAATCCCTTCTCCTGTATAAATTACCAATTTTAAAAAGAGAAACTTTTGTTTTTCTTTTTGGGCCACCCTGCTTCGGTGGGTATGGCGGATTTGTTGAAAGATAAATATATATATATATATATATAATATTATATATATATATATATATATATATATATATACATATAAGATGAGGTGAATTATAGAATTGATGAGGGGGAAAGGGTGAGCGGTGCACTTAGGAGTCTGTGGAGACAAAGAACTTTGTCCTTGGAGGCAAAGAGGGAAATGTATAAGAGTATAGTTTTACCAACGCTCTTGTATGGGTGTGAAGCATGGGTGGTGAATGTTGCAGCGAGAAGACTGGAGGCAGTGGAGATGTCATGTCTGAGGGCAATGTGTGGTGTGAATATAATGAAGAGAATTTGTAGTTGGGAAGTGAGGAGGAGGTGCGGGATTGCTAAAATTTGTCCAGAGGGCTGAGGAAGGGTTGTTGAGGTGGTTCGGACATGTAGAGAGAATGGAGCGAAACAGAATGACTTCGAGAGTGTATAAATCTGTAGTGGAGGGAAGGCGGGGTAGGGGTCTGTCTCGGAAAGGTTGGAGGGAGGGGGTAAAGGAGGTTTTGTGTGCGAGGGGCTTGGACTTCCAGCAAGCGTGCGTGAGCGTATCTGACAGGAGTGAATGGAGACAAATGGGTTTTAATACTTGACGTGCTGTTGGAGTGTGAGCAAAGTAACATTTATGAAGGGATTCAGGGAAACTGGCAGGCCGGACTTGAGTCCTGGAGATGGGAAGTACAGTGTCTGCACTCTGAAGGAGGGGTGTTAATGTTGCAGTTTAAAAACTGTAGTGTAAAGCACCCTTCTGGCAAGACAGAGATGGAGTGAATGATGGTGAAAGTTTTTCTTTTTCGGGCCACCCTGCCTTGGTGGGAATCTGCCAGTGTGTTATTATATATATATATATATTGGCAGTTTGGAGGGATATGTTGTGTATCTTTATACGTATATGCTTCTAAACTGTTGTATTCTGGGCACCTCTGCAAAAGCAGTGATAATGTGTGAGTGTGGTGAAAGTGTTGAATGATGATGAAAGTATTTTCTTTTTGGGGATTTTCTTTCTTTTTTGGGTCACCCTGCCTCGGTGGGAGACGACCGACTTGTTGAAATAATATATATATATATATATATATAATATATAATATATATATATAATATATATTATATATATATATATATATATATTTCTGCGGTCATAAGAGAAAAATTGTACAAGATAAGGTGGTTCTCCAAGCCGGGGTCACTGTCAAAGTCGAGGTCACTGTGAGGTCACGGTGCTTGATGAGCTGCGGTAAACCTACATGTCTTGGGAAAGATGCTCATACATCTTTCCTAAGAGATCTATAATTGTTCTGTCAACTCCAGGTAAACTATAGATAAACTCCAGGTAAACTCTAGGTAAACTCCAGGTAAACTCTAGGTAAACTCTAGATAAATTTCAGGTAAACTCTAGGTAAACTCCAGGTAAACTACAGATAAACTTTAGGTAAACTCTAGGTAAATTCCAGGTTAACTCTAGGTAAACTCTAGCTAAACTCCAGGTAAACTATAGATAAACTCCAGGTAAACTCTAGGTAAACTTCAGGAAAACTCCAGGTAAACTCTATATAAACTCCAGGCAAACTGTAGGTAAACTCCAGGTAAACTCTAAACTCTAGGTAAACTCCAGGTAAACTCTAAACTCTAGGTAAACTCCAGGTAAACTCCAGGTAAACTCTAAACTCTAGGTAAACTCCAGGTAAACTCTAAACTCTAGGTAAACTCCAGGTAAACTCTAAACTCTAGGTAAACTCCAGGTAAACTCTATATAAACTCCAGGAAAATTTTAATGTATATTTCTACGACCTTAGGCTATACAGGTTTCAATAACGTTTCTTTCAACATGTGTTTTTTCAAGAATAACTACATCACACCAATCAAGAACACCTGCATCACACCAGTCAAGAACACCTGCAACACACCAGTCAAGAATACCTGCATCACAGCAGTCAGGAACACCTGCATCAAACCAGTCAAGAACACCTGCATCACACCAGTCAAGAACGCCTGCATTACACCAGCCAAGAACACCTGCATCACACTAGTCAAAAACACCTGCATTACACTAGTCAAGAACACCTGCATCACACCAGTCAAAAAGACCTGCATTACACTAGTCAAGAACACCTGCATCACACCAGTCAAAAACACGTGCATTACACCAGTCAGGAACAACTGCATCACACCAGTCAGGAACACCTGCATTACACTAGTCAAGAACACCTGCATTACACCAGTCAAGAATACCTGCATCACACCAGTCAAAAAAACCTGTATTACACCAGTCAAGACCACCTGCATCACACCAGTCAAAAACACCTGCATTACACCAGTCAAGAACACCTGCATTACACCAGTCAGGAACACCTGCATTGCACCAGTCAAGAACACATGTATCACACCAGTCAAGAACACCTGCATTGCACCAGTCAAGAACACCTGCATTACGCCACACCAGTCAAGAACACCTGCATCACACCAGTCAAGAACACCTGCATTTCAGCAGTCAAGAACACATGTATCACACCAGTCAAGAACACCTGCATTACACCAGTCAAGAACACCTGCATTACACCAGTCAAGAACACATGCATCACACGTCAAAAAAACATGCATCACACTAGTCAAGAACACCTGCATCACACCAGTAAAAAACACCTGCATTACACTAGTCAAGAACACCTGCATCACACCAGTCAGGAACACCTGCATTGCACAAGTCAAGAACACCTGCAGTACACTAGTCAAGAACACCTGCATCACACCAGTCAGGAACACCTGCATTGTACAAGTCAAGAACACCTGCATCACACCAGTCAGGAACACCTGCATTGTACAAGTCAAGAACACCTGCATCACACCAGTCAGGAACACCTGCATTGTACAAGTCAAGAACACCTGCATCACACCAGTCAGGAACACCTGCATTGCACAAGTCAAGAACACCTGCATCACACCAGTCAAAAACACCTGCAGTACACTAGTAAAATAACAATGTTCTCTTGCCATGTGTTGTAGCAGCACAGGGTGTTCTTGGACACACTGTAATGTGTATTTACGTTGGTTAACAAGTCCAGTAAACAACCATTTAATGGATTGTCCCATGTAAACGTTATCACTTGTAAAACACGTGATGTTATAAACACAGAAATAATGATAATAAAATATATAGCCCAATGAGAATGTTTGTGTTTATATAAGTGCATGTTTTGTGTGTGTGTACTCACCTAGTTGAGGTTGCAGGGGTCGAGTCTAAGCTCCTGGCCCCGCTTCTTCTCTGGTCGCTACTAGGTCACTCTCCCTGAACCGTGAGCTTTATCATACCTCTGCTTAAAGCTATGTATGGATCCTGCCTCCACTACATCGCTTCCCAAACTATTCCACTTACTGACTACTCTGTGGCTGAAGAAATACTGTGTGTGTGTACTCACCTAATTGTCGTTGCAGGGGTCGAGACTCAGCTCCTGGCCCCGCCTCTTCACTGATCGCTACTATGTCCTCTCTCTCTCTCTGCTTACAGAGTTTTGTCATACCTCGTCTTTAAACTATGTATGGTTCCTGCCTCCACTACTTCACTTGCTAGGCTATTCCACTTCCTGACGACTCTATGACTGAAGAAATACTTCCTAACGTCCCTCTGACTCGTCTGAGTCTTCAGCTTCCAATTGAGACCCCTTGTTTCTGTGTCCCCTCTCTAGAACAACCTGTCTCTGTCTACCTTATCTATTCCACGCAGTATTTTGTATGTCGTTATCATGTCTCCCCTGACCCGCCTGTCCTCCAATGTCGTCAGTCCGATTTCCCTCAACCTTTCTTCGTAGGACATACACCTGAGCTCCGGAACTAGCCTTGTTGCAAACCTTTGCACTTTCTCTAATTTCTTGACGTGTCTGACCAGGTGTGGGTTCCAAACAGGTGCTGCATACTCCAGAATGAGCCTGATGTACACAGTGTACAGTGTCTTGAACGATTCCTTACTAAGGTATCAGAACGCTATTCTCAGGTTTGCCAGGCGCCCATATGCTGCAGCAGTTATCTGGTTGATGTGTGCCTCCGGAGACATGCTCGGTGTTATGGTCACTCCAAGATCTTTCTCCTTGAGCGAGGTTTGCAGTCCTTGGCCACCTAGTCTATACTCTGTCTGCGGTCTTCTTTGCCCTTCTCCGATCTTCATGACTTTGCATTTGGCAGGGTTGAATACATCTTATTTATTTATTTATTTATTTATTTGTTTATTTATTTATTAACAATTTGAGCACACATACAGAGGTACAAAAAAATGCAGATAAGAGCAGCATGCCAAAGCCACTTACACTATGCATAGCATTACGGGCTGGCTTAAAATTAACTTAAGATTAACTAAGCAATGATGAAATCAGTGATAAAACATTAATGTAAACAGATTACTATAAAGTACAAGTGAGTATTACAAAGACAGGTCATATGGTTGTATGCATTGTTGTACATTCAGTCGTATGGAGTATTCTGTTAGGTAGTATATTTAAAAAATAATAAAGTTAGATTGGGTTTTAGGTTTAACATTTATGTGATATAATTGTGAGAAACATTTAAGATATACAATTTATAAGGTTCAGTTATTCAGTATTTATTTGGTTTTGGTGTGAGTAAGTGATCTTTGAGAAGAGACTTGAATTTATAAACAGGTAGTGTTTCTTTTATATTTACAGGTAATGAATTCAGATTTTAGGGCCTTTTATGTGCATTGAGTTTTTGCATAGCGTGAGATGGACACGAGGAACATCAAAGAGTGATCTGTGCCTTGTGTTATGGTCAGTGTTCTGTTGAGGTTGGCAAGATGTTTGAGGGGAGGGTTAATATCAGAGTTAAGTGTTCTATGTATGTAATAGGTGCAGTAATAAGTATGGATGTTTTGTATGGTGAGTAGGTTTAGTGTATTGAATATTGGTGGAGTGTGCTGCCTGTAGTGAGAATTTATCATTCTAACTGCAGCCTTTTGTTGGTAATTAGTGGTCTGAGATGGTTAAATTGTTGTTGAGCCCCATGCACAAATTCCATAGGTGAGATAGGGGTAAAATAAGAGAGTGATATAGGGCCAGGAGGGCTGACTGTGGAACATAGTACCGTATCTTCGATAGTATGCCTACAGTCTTGGAAATTTTCTTAGAAATTTGTTGTATATGTGTATGAAATTTGAGTCTATTATCAAGGTGGATTCCTAAGAATTTTCCTCTGTTAGCTTTGTGATAGGTGATCCGTTTATTATTATGTTAAGAGGGACATCTTTAGCTCTGTTACCAAACTGAATGAAGTAGGTTTGTCAATGTTTTTATTTTAAGTTTGTTAGTCCTCATCCAGGTAGATATTTTCTGTAATTCGGTATTTTACAGTATTGGGGTAG